CACGCCGAACTCCTCTTGCGTTGCATCGCGAACGATCCGCCGAAGGCCTAATGCCTTCCGACCCTGCTGAAGATCGCCAACGCCGCGATTCCTCTGTCGCTTCCGCGAACCCGCCAACTCCCGCCGCGCGAACCCCTCTGGGAAACTGTCGAAAGCCTCTTCCTTCGCGAACTTCGCTGCCCGCGGGAAGCCACGATTCGCGAACTGCTGTTTGGTGAACGATTCGTCCCGATCGCAGGAATCTGAAGCCTGTCGCGAACGAAGACCTCTTGTCCGCGCGCGTCGCAAGCCAAGCCTGCTCGAACTCTGGCACTCCCACTCCCGAAATTCGCCAACTGCTCCGCGTGAACTGCTGGCAGAACCCTCGGCAAGGCGCCCAACGCCTCTGTCGCAGAACTGCCGAAGCGCTTCGTCTGGCCTCCCTCAAACTGCCGCAAACCGCGGAATCGTTCACCGCCAAAATTTTTCTTTTAGTGCCGCTCTGATACCAATGGGTATAATATTAGGGCTAAGAAAACATAGAAATCGATACAAAATTAGAAGAGATTTAGTGAGGTTCGGTAAAAATGTCTATATCCTCAGAAATAGAGGATAACATATCAGTTTGAGGAAAAGACGTTGTAATTTGTATACTGGTCTCCAAGTGGGAGATTTGTTGTGTCGAGTCTGGTTCAAAGAAAAAAAAAAAAAAGAAATAACCTACTTGTGCTTGTCGTAACTGCTCTCACTTGGATTTCCCGTTTTTCTCCATACTGTTTCGCAAATTAGTAACCCCTTTGTGAAATTGCCGAAAGCCTCTTTCTTCGCAAACTTCGCTGGCCGCGGGAAGCGACGATTCGCGAATTGATGTATGGATCCCGCTCCAACTGCCACAGCCGCTTCGCACCTATTTTGCGAGCGATTGTCTCGATCGCACGAATCTGAAGCCTGTTGCAAACGAAGACCTTCACGACTCCTGTCCGCGCGTCGCACGCCAAGCCTGCTCGAACTCTAGCACTCCCGCTCCTGAAATTTGCCAACTGCTCCTCTGTCACGTGAACTCCTCGCAGAACCCTCAACAAGGCTACGAACGTCGAACGCCTCTGTCTCAGAACTGCCGAAGCACGTCGTCTGGCCTCCCTCAAAATGCTGCAAACGGCTAAATCGTTCTTCTCACTTCTTGCACCGCAAAATTTTTCTTTCCTGCAGCTCTGATACCAATTGTTGTGTAATTTAAGACGAAGAAACAAGAATCGTCACAAAACCAAAAGAAGAACACAGAGATTTAACGATGTTCGACAAAGATGCATACATCATCGGGAGCAGGTGAATTCACTATTTCAGATGAGTTGCATATCCATAGGGTTACACATCTATTTATAGATAAAACCCACAGATAAATTTACAAACACGCCCTCACTCCCCCCAACCCACTAATCCAAGAGACACATCTTCATACCAAGTGACACACCTCTCCAAATCTAAGAGACTCCAAATTCATTGTATATGAGTCATACCTAACACTAACAATGTACTAAATTAATGGATGAAATGACATATAATATATATTACAAAATTGTGATCGTAAATTTTTGTACTCTCATATTTCAGGAGAAGGGCGAATATTTATAGTTTTTTCCTAATTGGATTACTTTGGCTGGCCCTAGCACATGGTTCTTCCCTTTACAAGAATTTTTCTCAGAATATCCTAGTGTCTCCTCCCATGGCTATTCATTTTTGTGTGCATTAGATCATTATACAATACAAGGATATTATATTATTACTCTACCACTGTGAATCTCTAACACGCAACAGCAATTATCAATATTTAATAATTTTTAATGAAATTATTTAGTTATGTTATCTTATTTTATTTTATTTTTTTCATGGTAATTTATGGTGTAGGAAATTAACAATAGTAGTCATGAAAATAATCGCATTTTAATATCAATATATAAGAATATGTTCATAAAATTTTAAAAATAAGATACCACATAAAGGAAAAAAAGTTGGAAAAGGTGGATTAATATTCTACTCTTAAAACAAAAAAATTCTTTTTTTTTTATGTGATAGACATCACTATTTTTACAATGGGACCAGTTCATCAAGTCACTCGTGAATTTATTCTATAAAACAAGTAGTGTCCATATTAACTTTAAAATAAACGTAGAACATAGTAGAGATGTTCTAAGAGATTATCTATTTTATGATCTATGAATTTTTTATTATGTATTAAGTTTAGTTTGACTGAGCAAGCCAACTAGGTCTAATAGTCAATGGTAAATGTCTTCTAACTTAATATCTTCTCTAATGATATCTTATTTAATAGTACCTCCTCATATAAGATTTTTATCATTCACATACAAATCTCAATGCATAACTTCAATTTTGAACATCCACATTCACCAAGGAGCACATAATCTTTTATTTTTGGAAATGGGAGTCCCATAAGATTCTTCACTTTGATTCCAACCAATGGACAAACATTTAAATACACAACTTTTTAGTTTGCTCCGCTATAAACTTAATAATAATTCTATTTTAATTTAAATACCATTTTTACAACTTT